AGACCCTGAGATCTATTATATACAGGTACAAAGTCTCTATAATGAATGTGATCAATATGTATGACACATATATTTATTCATTATTGTTCTTGCTCTCCTTTTCTTTCTTCCCTCTCTCCCCACCCCACTTCTCTGTGCTAAAGATTTAACCCAGGTTCTTACACATGCTAGGCAGTAAGTACCAATGAGCTATATTGAGGTGAGTTAATCCACTTTTTAAGTAGAGGTAGGCTGTCTCAAAAAGCTACATATTGCATGATTCCAACATACAACATTCTAGAAAAGGCAAAATTGTGCAAGCAATACTAAGGAGCTCAGAAACAAGGGGAATGAAAAACAAATGGAGCGCGGGCTTATTATTTCCTCAGTATGGTTCTGCTATATTTATTATTTTTTATTTTTTAAAGAGAACATAATACAGTAATAAAAAATAGAAATGATACAGAATTTCACTAAACAAAATATGAATTCAACAGTATTTATTATATTGCATAGTGCTATTTTCAACACAGTTGTTTAGATTACCAGATATAGGCATATAAAATTAGAAAACACAAAAAAAGTTATAAGAAATTAAGAAGAGAAAAAACTTAGGCATTAACTGCTCCTTTCCATATACCAGTAGAGATCCACAGTACAATTATCCAAGCCATCCTGCATACATATACACATACACAGATCTATCTCCCCCAACCCCGTCATCTTCATCTCAGTAATTTCTTCCTTTTGAACAGATTGGCTTTTTAGTTCAGTGCCACTGTTAAATTATACTGTGATAGGAGATATAATGTGCATCAATCAAAAACTCAACACAGATTGAACCCTAGTGCAAACTGTAGTATCTATATTTGTTTTATTTATAAACAATATATTGTTGGATATAGTAGCACACATCTATAATCCCAGCTACTTGGAAGGCTAAAGCACAAGAATCAGAAGATCAAATTCAGTTCAGGCACTTAATGAAACATCTCAAAATAAAAAGGGCTAAGAATGTGGCTCAGTGGTAGAGCACCTGCCTAACTAAATGCCTCTGGATTCTGCCAAGAGTGGTGATACATGCCTATAATCCTAGCACTCAGGAGGCTGAGGCAGAAGGATTGCCATGAGTTCAAAGCCAGCCTGAACTACACAGTAAGACCTTGTCTCAAAACAACAGCATTTATGTTCAATTCCCGCTATTGTAAAACAAAAACAGAATTCCACTGTGTAAATATTGATTCATCAATTGTAACATATATTCCCCTTTAATGTCAAATGTCAATAACAGGATGAGCTGTGTAGAGGGGTAAGATGTGGGAACTGTACTTCCCACTCTACTCTTTTGTTCTAAAAAAGTCTATCAATCTTTTAAAAATGGGTATTACTACAAGCTGGTCCAGAGATAAGCAGAAGCAGGCAAAAGGCTGATATTCTTAGGAATATACTTCTGGGTTCTAAATGAAAGTACTGTCTTAGACTTTTCTATCACAATTCAAAATGGTTATTTTTAGTTTCAATATTTTTTTTCCAAATGTATTTAGTACAAGGTCTACAGGGTCTCACTACACAGATCAGACTCAAAGTAATCCTCCTGTTTTTAGCCTCCCAAGTACGGGGATTACAGGTGCACACCACAATGCCCACTCTCAGTTGCCATCTCAGTGTGCCCATAGGGCAGTGCCAGCATGGCATGCTGGGGATTGAACCCCAGTCCCTGCATCTGCCTAAGTAGGTGCTTTAATCCACTGAGATATCTGGGTGGCCCTCTAGTTTCAATTTTTAACTCAGTTATTTCTAATGATAATTGAATTATTAAAGGTGTTTTCTCACTTAAACTAAAATGTGGTATTTTGAATTATACTTTTTAAATTTTATTATTTCCCTGAATGGTTCTGCTATATTTTATTTTTTAAAGAGAATATAATATAGTAATAAAACTTCTACACAGTTCTTGATATATCTTTTTTGATAAAATTACTTCTGACTTTACAGTGGAACACTAACTCAAATTAAATATATGGAATAAGGAACTGACTATAATTTGATACTTAAATGTAAGTTAGATAAGTATTAATCTCTATCTACTTATGTAAGGTATGACATTTTATAATAACAGTATAAATGCCCATTTTTATAATTATATTTAAAAACCTCAAATGTATGAGTCTACCAAAAGTACTTCATTTATTCAATTAAATCAGGATATGTGGGTCTGTACCAAAAATTTTTGTTATTTGCTTAATGAAGCAAACATCTCAAAATGGATTATATATAGTATGCAAAACAAACAATATAAAAACAATGAACGTATTCTAATAAAAAAAAAATGGCTACTGAACACAGGTCTACTTTATCTAAATAAACATAAACTACAGAATATTTCAGAATTAGATATATTTTTAAACATTAATAATCAAAAACAGCCCAGCCTAATTATGATTAGCCAATTCTTGCAATCTTGATATCTTTTGACAGTAATAATTGGTCAAAGGTTATAGTCTAGAACTGGCCACTGAACTGAAGGAAGCTCTTGGATTCCTTCCTTCAGTATAAGAGGGTAGCAAACGAAATAGTTTTTTTGCCTCCCAACCAGTTATTTTGCACATACAATGTTGTCTAGTTGAACCTGATACTTAGGAGAGCTACATCACTGTCTTGAGACTATACGTCAAAGACCAAGAGAACGTCCACAATCTTAACTTTTCACCTAGACATAACTGAGCCCCATAGCTTCTTATGTGAAATAAATGTTGTTTGTCTAAGTCACTGACGATCAGATATACTTCCCTGAAACTGAAAACATCCTAATTAATATAAACAAGGTGAGAAGGTATGTAGATTAACTACATCCTTTATTATTTACAGAAATAATTTCTGTAATCTTATAAAATTTTCAAAACAACCCAATGAAAAAGCATCTCATTTTGCTTGCTTTTACAAATTAGAAAACTAAGGATTAACAAGGTTATAGTTAATAGTAACAAACAATAAAATTTTAACCTAGACTTGAATCAAACTCAACTTATTTATTTTTATTCATTTTAATGAGAAAAAAAGATAAAATAGCAATGAAACAGCTTCAAAACAGGCTGGTAGGACAGTTATATATTAATACATTGTATATTGTTGTCTTCATAGCAGTTATTCAGAGGACAAGATGCAGACATGATATCTTTTTATTTATTTATGTGTGTGTGTGTGTGTGTGTGTGTGTGTGTGTGGCCAGCTCAGCCCACCAGGGGGCGGGCTGGCTGGGATGTGGTGCTGGGAGATTGAACCGCGGTCCCTATGCTTTGCTAAGCTTGTTCTAAGTAGATGCTTTAGACCACTGAGCCATCTCACCAGCCCACAGACATGATATCTTGTCTAAATAATATTAGTACAAACTTCTATTCTCAACGATCAACTTTTAAAAATATACAATATAAAACCCCTGTCTTCCTTATTTATAGCTCTTCTTAAAAGAAAAATAGTATCAAATACTGTGTTATTAGCTAACAGAATTTTGGGGGAGAGCCAAGGAATATCAACTATTCTTGTAACTGTCATAAGGATACACAGAAAAAAAAAAATAAGGATACACAAGCTTCAACTGTTATATTGGGAAAGACAAAAGTATATATGCACATCTATATAAAGTCCCAGAATGTCTAGTATAATCATAAAAATCTTGTAGAAGGGCATTGGCCTGGCAAGTGCAAGATCCTGAGTTTGATTCTCAGTACCAAAAAAAAAAAGAAAAAAAGAAAAAAGAAAATAAAATCCTGTAGGACTAGTAAAATAGATTCTAAGTTTATTTTTTTTAAGGTTTCAATTGTACTTTATTTCTTCAATAGGCCATATTTTAATGGATACACAGCACTTTTACTTGGCATCAATTATGATTTCACTTAAAAATAATTTAGCTGTATCATATCAGCTGGCATGAGTACTGATCTCTCCATTCCTTGGAGGTGACTCTGCCAATAGGGAAAAGGTTCCATTCTATTCCAATCTGTGTTGCTGTGTAGGTCCATGCAGCAATACAGAATGTGACTCCACCAACTAATATAGCATTACCATATTTGTCATGGAAATCAGGTGTATGTTTCTGGTGGCTCTGCCTTGTCACTATTTGTTGAATGCTTCGCAATGGAAAACAACCTAATGTGTTTTTGGCCAAGGGAAACATTGTGGAGTTGAAGTTAAACTGTAGTTATTGCAGCTGCCAGCTTGGTGCAAATTACTTCCAGATACCCTTGCAAAGAGCCCTGACCTGCATGAGTCTGTGTTCTCTAAGACCCGAGAATGAATTTTAGGAACAAACGGAGGTTATGAGCAGAATATATTTACTGAGGGAAAGAAAGCTCCTGTCCGAGAGAGGGACAGGAGGGGGGCCTGAGTGGGTTGTTCCCCAGATTCTAAGTTTAATAGTTTTCCAAGAATTAAAAAGTAAGTCACCAGGTGTGGTGGTGCACAGCTGTAATCCCAGCATTTAGCAGGCTGAGGCAGGAGAATTGCCATGAGCCTAAGACCAGCCTGGGTTACATAGTGTCTCAGAAACAACCCAAGATGGGGCTAGTGAGATGGCTCAGTGGTCTAAAGCACCTACTTAGAACAAGCTTAGTAAACCACAGGGACCGCGGTTCAATCCCCCAGCACCACATGCCAGCCAGCCCCACCCCCTGGTGAGCTGAGCTGGCCACACACACACAAATAAATAAATAAATTTTAAAAACCCAAGAAAAACAAATGAACAAACAAAAAATAAAAACAATTGCAAGTATTTCCTAAGCTATAATAACTTCCTTATTTCAGATGACTCCATGAACCAAGTATCTAACAATACAGAAACCACAAAGCTAACACTTCCTCAATTCTCATCTCTTCATAGAAACTGATAACAGTACAAAGATGGACAACAAAGCACCTACTATCTAAGATCAGCAAGATCATTTGTTATTGAGACTTATCAGAACTGGGTTTTCAAAAGCAATCTTGTCATCTCAACCAGATTTGAGCTCATATATGCAACTTACCTTCCCACATGCTCTGCAATGATGCCTTCTTTTGGTGAATGTAAACCGGGCTTCACATTTCATGCAATTTGGAGCCTGGGAATCTGGTACCCATACTGGAGCTACTTCACCCAGAGTGGTAAATGGCTTTCTGGCAGAAATTCCAAACTGACCAGCTCTCAGATCATTATCTGGGCTATCTGGAGCTACTGCAAGGCACGGTCTACTGGAAGCCTCATAACTCTCTGTATGCTCCCCATTTGTATCAGCACTAGAGATGCTTCCCAAAGAGGCATTGGTTGCTGAGTTTTCCCCTAGTTTTGCTTTCCCCAGAATATCGTTTTTGTTTTTAATACTATTTCCATTGTTTGTGGACAGGTCGTTTTTTAAATGGTCTGATAATGGCTTTGGAATTTGAAGTTTAAGATTAGAAGGTTGCTTGGGTCTTGCACCGCCAAAAGGAACACTGATGGATTGCAGATTTGCTACAATCTTGGGGGAAGACTGCACAAGGACTGATGGAACTTGACTACAGAAATTATGTAAATAATTTTTCTTCATTAGGTCACCAGTGCTGTTTAAAAGTAGTCCACTCCCCTCTGTCGCCTCATTTCCTCTGTGTTCATAAATGTTTGAGTAGCATTCTGACTTGCTCTCCTCTATTTCTTTTTCTTCTGTTACTGAATCTTCTTTGGAGGGTAAAGTCTTTGGAACAAAAGAAACAACTGGGCTCTGCATTCCATAGGAATCACAACCATTAGATAAAGAATTTGCTGCTGATGAATCTGTAACAGTGGAGAAATCACATCCTCCACTTTCACTCGTGCAAGTTCCTTTTAAATCTAGATCTGCATCTACTACTCCAACACACTCTCCTACATTATCACCATTAGTGTCATCAGGCTGATTAACTTGTAAAAATTTTTCACTTTCTTCATTTACTTGGCTATCTTCATTCATCTCATTTAGTTTAGTCAATTTCCAATTACTCATCTCCTGAGAGAGAGAGAAATGCTCTGTCATATTAAGTAGTTCTGTAGTGCCAAGAATTTCTTCATGTTCATAATGTTCATTTTCATCAGCTCTAACTTCATTAGGCACAAGGCAATCTGAAAACTTTTCAGAGTTATCTTTTCGAGGCATGTCTGGTTTGAGACACAAAGGTAAACCAGACTGGAGTGATTCTTCAGTTGTTCTCTCCTCTGCTGGCTTCTTTTCTCTCAAAATCTCCTCCCCCAAGTGGGAAAAGGTGTTTGGATTCCCCATGTCTGTCCAAGGAGAGCTGATTTTGCCAATAATGTCCTCATCTGGCATACAATCTTCTTGTCTTTTAACAGTAGAGCCTTTATCTGTTGCCTGGGATGAGATCACTGAATCAACTGTTAAACTTGTAATCATAGACACTGAGGAGTCTCTACCTATACTTTCATCATCCTTTAATTGTGAAGTGGAACATACACTGGTTAGACTATCAGAAGAAGTTGTACATAGATGATTAACAGAACTCCCTTCTGTTTTGGGTCTTTTCAATGGATCCATTTGTTTTTCTGAGTTCATATCTTTTTCAGTGGATCCATTCATACTAAAACTAAATTGATCAGTTTGTCTGTTTTCATTATCCAGTGAACAGCTAAAAGAATCCATGAGAGATTGGCTATTATAATTATTACAGTCCTGCAAGTCACTTTGTAATGTCCTTTTATCACAATTATGCATGACAGCTACAACAAGAACACTTTTCTCATCTGGAAGACAAGTTAAGTTTCCACATTTTTTCTCTCCTGCTTCAGCAGCACTGTACTGACCATCTCGATTATAGTTTTTCTTGATTAACTGATCTTCTGCAACAGCATTTCCATCAATCCACATTGTGGCAATCTCTGGATTTAGACTACAGTTCTGCCCATTAGCACAGTGATCTTCTCCCTCAGTTGGAGCTGAATGAGCCAAAGAGAAGACTTTTAGCTGTGGCTGTGATTCATTAGAAACTGCAGGTTCATTCACACTAGCCAATGCAGGATTAAACGACAGTCGGTGGGAAGAGGGATCTAGAATTTTATTCCACTTTGCGTCCAATAAAGTAGGGGAAATTGTTTCATCTGAAAAAAATAAGTTGCTACAGTAAGTTGGCTGGTAATAGTGAAAATCTAATAAGACTAAGTTAAGCAACATTTCCAACTATACTCTGAAAATAAAATGCATTCCTAGGATACGTATCTAATTTTTAAGTAGGAATAAGAAAACATATTAAAATATTTTCCTTAATTATGTCATCAAGCAGTAATATCTCAGAACATTTCAAACAAAAGACTTCTTCCTTAAGGCGGGTATGTCAGTGGTACAAGTACCTACCTGGCAAGTGCAAAGTCCTGAGTTCAATACCCAGTATAAACAAAAAAGATATATTCTAACTGAGGATTGGAGAAAGCATTCTTGCATTGTCTGTATACAAAACAAAACACATACTAATGGGAGAAGGCTCAGTAATAAAAATACAATCAAGTCAGGAGGAAAAACAAGAAATTTCTGTGGATAGCTAGAAGCCTACGATCTATATCGTGATTGGTATATGGGTTTCACAGCTCCATTTGTCAAAATTGTACAATTAACTAGGCATAGGGGTACATGCCCATAGTCCAAGCTATGTGGGAGGTTGATATGGGAGGATCTCTTGACTGACAAGTTCAAAAGTAGTCTGGGCAATGAGGTGAGGCCCTCTCTGAAAACAGAAAGACTGTACAACTAAGATCTATTCATTTTAGTGAAAACAAAGTTTAACTTTATAAAAGTAAACAAAGGGATCAAGAAACAGATAAAGGAATAAACGAAACAAAAATGGCAGCATGTCTGTCACCGTTGAAAGTAAATAATGGGTACATTGATTTTTTATACTATTCTGTTTAATTGGTGTATTTTAAATTTGTCCATTTTGTTTATGTACTAATTCCCCAAATCAATCAAATAATTGATTGTAATAATTATAATCAATCAATATGTAATTACTTATCCCATTATATATTTTTAAAAGTCTGCTATAGTATATGAAATTATGCTCTAACCATGTCACAATATATTATTAATTAGGTTCATATTTATATTATCTGAAGATATTTGGCAAAGCATATTCATTTATCTTATTAAATCAATTTATGCTATAATTTCATATAAAAATTCTCTTTATTTTTTAACAGATCATACCTAAGACAGCTAAATTATTTTCCCAAATTATGCTACTGTGTATCTTTAAGTAAATTATGGAAATAAGAAACAATGTATTATTGTCTTTCCTGTCTTCCTCCAATAACATTATCATGGTTCTGAAATTATGCATCTATGTTCATAACATTAATCTTCAATATACCCATAGCAGCTTGCTCATGTTTTTATTAAGACATTTAGTACATGGTAGTGCAACAACTTATTTAACTTCTTTTTCATCAACTCAATGATTTCTGAAGGCAGAAACCATTTTAGGCCATCAATGTAAATTCTCACTTTGTAGAGCTCCTAATATGTAGCAGGTACATAATACACATATATTAAGTGAATAGCTACTACTGCAAAGGAATTGAGTTTGTGGAACATGAAAATTAGATTGACATTCTGTATCTCTATTATAAAGTATATAATCTAATTGGAATAGTAAGATACAAATACAATATACATGACTTTCTAATTAACAGTAGCATATGTACTTGAAAACTATTATGCAGAAATAGAAAATAAGTTCAGAGGAGAAAAATTTTACAAGATGAGGTAATTGAACTGTATTCAATTCATGGAGGTGTGAGGAACTCAGCTAGGCTTGAAAATTTTCTTTATGTTTAGAAAAGAAGAGGAAAAAACATAGCTATAACAACAATTCAAAAGAACATTAAGTATATCAGTTTGGGCTAAGAAAATAAGTAGAAGAAGAAGAAAATAAGGAAGCAGTGAGGAGAAACTACAAAGGACAGATAATAAAGCCATAAAACATCAGAGCATTTTACATGAAGAATAGATATTGTTTTGACATAAAGAATAGATTTAGTATCCTTTGAGTTTCTAAATTCTAAGTTTAAATCCAAATTTGCGCTAGAATAAATTTGAAATTTACTTAAAGAAGAAATACAAAATAAGAAATCACTTCATTTAAAACATACTCTCTAAGGTACCAGGCTAGATACTGTAGTTACTGACACTGAAATGCAAATGGTGCTGATACTGAAAAAACAGTTCAAACAAAAAAACAAAAACAAAAACAAAAAACACATAGTTACAAAGAATAAATGGGTTTGGAAAATCTTTCTCCTTTCAAAGAAATTATTCTTTTTAACAAATGCTACTCTTGGCTAAGATATTTTTACAGATTCAACAAAAAAAATGTACTCTAAAACAACCACAAAGTACACTTTATTAGAATCTACAGAAATTAGAAAAGGACTAACGTAACAAACTAATAGTTTTAGTAGAGTCAGTGGTATTCTGAAAACATCATTTATATGGGTAGGTATAACATGTGCATAGATATTTAGCAACTTAAGTATATATGATATGCAGCTGGCTAAACAGAAGAAAGTACTAACAAAATATTTGTATAAATAGTTTTTTTTTTCTCAGAAATACCTTCTTGCTTGTTATATACAAACCTCATCTGGATCCAATAAAATCCCAAATCACAAGATTTCACATTTACATGAATCTGCAATGAGTCTAAGGATACTGGGTCGTCGGAGGTAAAATATGAGAATAGCTGGTCATTCCAGGTATCTCTTTCCTTATCCCCATGGTCTCATATTCTATTTAGGATTTGTTCTAGCATAACCTCAAAGTAACAAAATCAAAACTAATCTTTCTTCTCACTGCTATTAAAGAATGACATGAACTACGAGCTACAAGGAAGGTTTGGAGGTCACTACCAAAATCTTGAACTTATATGGAAATATACCAGTTTGCAAAACTATCACATG